TTTACGAGGGAAGATCCAGGGGTATAATAACGTCTCCTCATTTAGAACCAAAAATAGGATAACTAGTAACTACTATAATATTCCTACGCCAGAACTATTTTTTAAAACTAGTAGATCAATTTCTAACATCTATTGATAAGAATTTTCTATTTATGTAATCTTTATGACTATAATAAYATACTATTTTCTAATAYCAATTTAAGTACCTATGGAATAGGTATTTGAATTTAAAAAATGTCGGGCTCCCAGAAAAAAGTTTAAAATACGCCACTGCTAATAAATAGGTATTACTATAAGTTTATGAATACCAAGTACCTATCACGAATCATGATAATATACATAAATATATTATAYATATTTAATTTTGGTACCTACTATCATCAATACTATAATTTAAAATATATACTTGAAAAAAAATAGTTTGCTAAATTAGTTTATAGGCATAATAATAACTTACGGTTCACCACATTACCGACCAAAGTCCAAAACTGTTACGTGACGTCGTTCATCCGTTTGTGGACGTACCTTAGGTCTTGCGCCGCGTTACAGCTGGCCAAATGGTGGGGATGAAAAACTCAAACACGTCGATGCCAACTACTCAGGACGTCTCAGCCATCGGGCGTCCGTCATAGAAAAAATAATGATAATTAAATAATWAAATAATAATAAATGTCCGTGTAATTCGTATGATCAAGGTAGACGATGTAGGTACATATCCACCTTGGGAATGATATACGAATCATGATTTCCCACTGTGATTTTCAATCTGATAGCCGAAACTCGGTGATAGTAATTCAGCGATAGTTGTGCGCCTAGTTGCTCATTATTGGCTATTGCTGTACGCTCCGGCTACACGCTCGTAATTTTGTACAGTTGTAACTTTTAAGTCGTCGTCACTCCTCGTCCGCGTACGTTGTAATGACAGACGACTCGACACTGCGTTGATCTCATAGTTCATACGTAACGAGGTTGTCGAATTTGCCTACTTTTAAAATTTACTTTAGTACTACCTATTCTTGTTATTTGTTATTTTCTTACCACATAATACCGTGTTATAATGGCTGCGACCAAAGGAAAAACGAACAAAAAACCTAGTCTGTTGGTAAATGTGTATTTGTTTGCATACAATTTCATTCAAGTTTTGGGGTAATGTTATATTACTAAGGTTATAGTATTTTTCTTGGTCGAGCGACAGAATGCTTAAATAGAAATTTTTTTTCAGATGGAGTTATTTATTATTTCAAATTGTTAATTACTATGTGAACCCACCCMAATCTCAATCGTTGTGGGACGTTGTGAAGTATACAGTTGGAATATTCCAAAATGCTGCAGTTATTGAGGTTTGTATATGCATTTTTAACTGAAATGAAATATAAACTTGTTGAAAAAATAAATAGAGCAATTTTGAATTAAGGTTAATCCGCATATAATATCATTTAATTAATATTTGTTTTTTGTGTAGGAATGAAAAAAAAACATTCTTAATTTCAACTATTACATTTTAAATAATAAAATAAAAGCATTAGGTATTAATTTTATGTAATTAGATATCTATCTTTTTCTCTGATGAAGTGATGAATAAATAACAATAAATGTAGTATTAAGTGAAAATTATTTAATATCAAACAAATGACATTGGGTAAGTTACCTATTATTCAGAATATTCACTATTTTAGGTCATATACAAGGTCAGCAGTTCCTTGTTGGTCTATAACAAGTTTTAATTTCCATAAACTATATCATTTATACCTATATAATCTGTTGTTATTGCATATAAGATGTAACAACTATTTAACAACAGGTTTTATTGTAGTGTTCAGTATGACATATTCAAGCCAATTATTATTACAATATTTAATTTTATTAACCATAAATCAATAATATAATGATTGGAGATAGAAATACTCTCACTAGCAATAGTGTGAATGTAGAATATTATAATATGCAGCCCTTCATCTTATAGTTTTGTTTTGTTTATAAAATATATAAATATCATTTATATTCATTGATAGGCTTATAATTTTTCTTAAGTATACACTTACTTAAATACTTAATTTGATTGTCTTACTAGTAACTAACAAAGTTATATATTTTTCTCTCAACAAGTATGCTGACTAATAACACTTACTTACTGAATTCTTGGTATTTGATAATTTTTAGTCAAAAGATAAACTATTTGTAGATTTTCTTGAAGTTGTGTTTGTTTAATTGAATTTTATTTATTATGAATATAGATATTAAATGTAGCTAGTGGTTTGGTGAAATCTAATTTGGCAGTTACTATTCAACAAGTTCTATCACGTGTTGCCATTGTCGCTGCTATTGCATTTATACCAGAGACATCGGGCTCACCAGGTTTACCATTGGCCTTAACTGCTTGGTGCTTTGCAGAAATTACCAGATATTCATACTATGGTTTCAATATTATTGGTTATATCCCTTATCTAATTATTTGGGCGAGGTAATAACTAACATTTATTATGTTAATCCTATTAATGGGTTTATTAAAATTTGTACATTGATAATGTCATTTTTTTCAGATATACTTTCTTCTATGTTCTGTATCCAGTTGGTGTTAGTGGAGAATTATTAGTTTACTGGACGTCATTAGGATATGTTGGAAGAACCAAAATGTGGAGTATTGAAATGCCTAATAAACTAAATATTGCA